TACGAAGTTGGCGAATGCAATTGTTTTGAAATTGTAGGAATGATTTGAATCTGAAGAAATCAAAGAAATTTGATAACGTTTGGGTATATTACGCAATCTAAAGAAATTATTACTTGGAAGATCTTCAACATTTTACACCACATCTGCATCAAGGCTTTTGCAATTTCCCAGTTCTGATGGATATAGGTTGGTGATTGGCTGTTCCAGAAATCTAGTAGAAGACTCCCATTTCATTTACATAGGCAACGAGGTTAAGATGACATAAGGGCTAAGCTGGTGGACCGCTTGAAGTGGGAGGGATGTTAGCTATTATGTAGGATGATGTTTCGATTAGCAAATTTCAAGGTAATATCTTTCCCTTTAAATTAATTTTGAAGCAATAATAAATTTTTAATTTGAATTTTGGATAGTACTTTTGTAAAAATAAAAAAAAAACTTTTAAAATTTACTACTTAATTTAACATGAAAGATATTTGAATTCCCATATCATATCTATTGTATTAAATAAAATAAGGGGATTTTGACAATAAAAATAAATTTTAGCCTGTATTTTTGTTATGCCAACCAAGTTTAGTGCTAACTTGTAAAATTTTTAATAAACTTGAATAACATTGTCAGCAGCAGTTTTAGATCATATTTGAATTTTTTTTTTAATTTTTTTAACCATTGGGGTATCTAAAGCCACTAACCTATTCTAATTTAGTGGCACTGTCATTTCATCTCACCCCTGTAGGATCATAATTGGATGAATTTTTTTATATTAGCTATAGTTGACATTTAAAGTTCTCAGAGAAAAAAAAAAAAAAGCCGTTAAAAATTCATAGATAAATATGCAATGTTAATATCAAATTCAAATTCCTTTTTGCAACTTTCCCTCTAAATCCTTGCACCAGTTGGCTAATTCATCTTTCTTTCCTTATTTAGAATTGTTTTTGGGTAGCTAGCCAAATTTTCAGGCAAATCCATTACTCAGAGGCTGCTTCTGCCACGTATGAACGGCGGCAACAAGAAAGGCTCAACAGTCAGGTATCTTGTTTAGACTTTTAGGCTTAATAATATGTTTTATAGCCACTTCAAGAGTAATAACTAATACCATAGTATTTAGACTCGATGCGTGTATCTTCTCATAATATATTATATTTTATGATACAATGCAGTCATAATTTCTTGTTTTAATCTTGGTTTTAGTGCAGCGTTATTAATTTTGATTCGCTTGTGTATTAGGGTCATGAAGGGTAAGCTCTTAAGCCACTAGAGTATAGAAATAAAGGCGAATTCACGAGTGATTCTGCTCCTTCCACTAGCAAAAGGAAAAGGAAAAAGAAATTGATTATCGAAGTCTCCTATTGGCGCGCTTATAAAACAATCCAGACGATCGACCTTCAAATCGCAAGAGGAAAACGAAAATGGGTGTTTTAATGTTCTCTCCTCTTTGGCATTAGGAGTAATGCCTAAGTGCTTTCAGAATCACAAAAGAAGAATCTGTTATTGTATCACTACGTAGGCTTTGGAAGCAGTTTGGCTGAGACTCTTTACGCCCTATGAAGACATTAGTAGAGCAACTGCTATTTCTCTTACGGCAGTCTGCTAGGTGAGGGTGGTTTCTGGTAAAGTTTACAAAGGTAATGTTTATCAATGGTGGAAGCAGTTGTGTTAAGTCACTGTCAAAAAATGATAGGGAAACTGCGGGATAATTGAATTTTTGGCCAGAGATTGAAGAACGGCGATTAGCCGAATCCATCACCGTAAT